CTCACCACCCAGGGGCCTTTTCCCTCCCCCAACCCCACCTGCCAGCCCCCAGGGGGATTTTCTCTCCCAGTCCCCAGTGCTGCAGCCAAAGGCAGGGGAAGGGTTTGGGCAGGGTACTACATACCTGGGGGGTGGCAGGCAGGATGGTGGGGCCCCAACCCTGCTGCCAGTCCCTTAGTTGGGGAGGGCAATAAAGTGTCACCAGTTCCCTCGGCTTAGCCCGACAGCAGAGACGCGACTTGAGACTTGCTAATTTTGTTACATCGACTTGGTGAAAATATTGTCTGAAAATGCCGATATTGACGGCTTGTCCAAAAGCAACTTGACATTTTTCAAATTAAGACGTGAGACTTGCCTTGGACCGGGCCCACAGGGACGTGAGACTCGCCTTGAAGCGGGACTGTGACGGACGGGCTGTGTCTGGGCACAGCTGAGGGCATCCGCTCAGGGTGAATTGCTCAAATTAGGGGCTCCTTACAGCCCCCAGACTGGAGACCTTCCCAAACCGGCCACAAACCAGTCCCACAGAGCGCTTCAGCAGCCTGCCTGAAGCCTCACGAGCAAAACCCCTCCGACACCCCAGCAATATCTGTGCCCCAGATGGCCCCGGGCCTCATACACGGGGGGGTCCTAGCACCCAATCCCACCTACCCCGAACAAGTTCTGTCCGGTTCCAAGAACCCAGCCACAGATCCCTGATCAATTTACCCTCTGGACCTTACCCACAAATCACGCTGAGCCAATCCTTTAGCATCTACCATCTAAAGGTTTATTACCACAAGAAAGAAAAGCCTGAGAGTAAGGTTGCTAAAGAATCATACATTACATGCACCGAATCTCCCAGTTCGCAATGCAGGCTCTAGCAGAGATGTTACAGCTGCTGGCTTAAAAGTCCTTGTTGCACATCCTAGGATCAGGATGGGTCCACAGTTCTTTCTGGCTCTTTGATCCCTGCAGTGCTGCCTCTGGGATGAAGTGCTGAGCTGAGAATCAAGATGGAGTCCACCACATGGCCTATCTATCCCTCCTTCCTGGTCTCTTCTTGGCTATAGCAGGTCACTTGGCCCTCGGCTTATTCCTGTGTTCACTGCTGGTAGCCCTTAGGTATGAGTCACCACTCATTCTTTAGGTGTGTCCTTGGCCCATTGAGTGCCATTGTCCCACAGGGCCTTGCTGATTAGCATGTCCAGAGGCCGGGCTCTGCCCAATGCTCAACCACATGCAGGGAAATATTCAGTACCCATACAAGTACATGCTTATAATTGCATACACAGACATTATACAATCACATGACCAGCGTACACAGGATTAGCAGACAGTGAGCTTCTATTCAACACCCCACATGGCCCCTTTTATACCATTTTTGGGGCCAACACCCCCCATGGGTGCAGCAGCGATCTGGCTGCTCCCCTCAAAATCCAGTAACGTGACAAGGGCCCGCAGGGACGTGAGACTCGCCTTGGACTGGCCAATGGCGGTGTGAAGACACTGCTTCTTGGGACTTGGTGGTTTCCCATCTTGGCCTCGTGCAGCCAGGTTTTGGGCGGAAGCATCCTGTAGCCTTGGCTCGGCCGAAAGCAGGCAAAGCCGGACTCTCTGAAGGCCTGGCCCCAGCAAGTCACTAGCACAAGCTTCCCTTTAAGCAGGCCTGTCGGGTCAGCGGGGCTATCAGGTGAAAGTGGGCCGGTACTGAGTCCCAGTAAGACGTGGCTGCCAGTGCCAGCCCATGCAGTCAGTGTTAACACAGCAGCCCCTTTTGTTCTGCCCCCACCCTCAGCAGCCCCACTGGTAGGGTCTGGCAGTTCTGCACGGAGAGCAAAAGGGGCATCTGTCCTGGTGCCTGGTGATTCAGCAGGGCCCGGTGGGCTCTGGGTCACAGCCGGAGCCCTGGGGAGCCCCTGCCATGCAGTGCTGAACAGCTGGCTGCAGAAGGCTGGCCTCTAGCCCGTCCCCTTCTGGGGGGCCTGGAGCTGGGCCCCAGGCTAGTGTGATTGTTAAATGACATTTCCCCTGGTGGCTATACTTGTGCTTTCAGTTCGGAGCAGAACTGAAGCTTCCTGGCACGGATTTTCCAACAGAAAAGGGTTGCTGGGCGTTCACAGACAGCATGTGATCGGACAGATTTTTAAAAAATTTTCCTCATGACAGCGGCACCCTCAGCATTCGATTTAGTAAGTCTTTACTAGACCTGCTAAATCAAATGCCAGAAGATCAAACTCCGGCACAGTACGGGGAGATGCGACCTCAGACACAGGAGCTTCAGTGCTTCGCTTGTTGCATGTTTGCAAACCAGGGCTCAGTGAAAAAGCTGGAAATCTGCTTCCTGGTAGCACATCAACCATTGCTCTTCCCAAGCGCCTGACTTTGGGTAATTAACACAATGGTGCCTATTCAGAGACGGAATTTCTTCTTCTACCTGACTCTCAAGAAGCCTGTGCAGCCCCAGGCACGTAGGTAAATCATTTAGTCTTTGGTGTAAAACAAGCAGCAAGACGACTGGCTTACGGCTGGTCACAAGCTGTGAGATTTGTGCTTCCAGAAACGCGGCTTTGGGCTCGCGCTGTACAAGTGGTCATTTCGAATGAGAATTCTCACTGTGGAAGATACAGAACTGCCGCTCAGTGGCTGGCAGTAAACCCATGGTGCAAATATTTAGCAGGGAGGGCAGAAAAGCATTGAAAAAGCTTCCTGAGGGGTGTGGGAAATCCGTCCCCGTGTGGCGTCTCACCAGGCGTGGCTGTCTTTCCAAAAGCCATGCTCCCGTGCAGTCACAAATGACTGGATGCAGAACAAGACTCTGTGGCTGGAATCCTATGGCAGCCTAGACAATCGGCATAATCCCTTCCTGTTTCTACAGGTTGTGCCTTACCCAGGGAACCCTCTTGGCCTACATTAACGAAGAAGAGTGGCATTTTCCACCTTATAGAATCACAGAACACTAGACCTCAAGGGGTCGAGTACAGCCACACTGCTAACTCATTTAGCTCGTGGTCCACTATGGCCCCTAGATCCCTTTCTGCCGTACTCCTTCCTAGACAGTCGCTTCCCATTCTGTGTGTGAGACACTGATTGTTCCTTCCTAAGTGGAGCACTTTGCATTTGTCCTCATTAAACGTCATCCTGTTTACCTCTGATCATTTCTCTAATTGTCCAGGTCATTTTGAATTATGACCCTATCCTCCAGATTAGTCGCAACCCCTCCCAGCTTGGTATCATCTGCAAACTTAATAAGCGTCCTCCCTATGCCAATATCTAAATCGTTGAAGATATTGAACAGAACCGGTCCCAAAACAGACCCCTGTGGAATCAGCCACACTTATGCCCTTCCAGCATGACCATGAACCATTAATAACCACTCTCTGAGAGCCGTTATCCAACCAGTTCTGCACCCACCTTGTAGTAGCCCCATCTAAATTGTATTTGCCTAGTTTACTGATAATAAGATCATGTGAGACCATGTCAAAGGCCTTACTAAAGTCCAGGTATCCCACATCCACCACTTCCCCCTTCTCCACCAGACTCACGATCCTATCACAGGAAGCTCTCAGATTGGTCTGACGTGGTTTGTTCTGTACACACCCCTGCCTTGTTGTGTTAGACCTGTCTAAAGATTCAGAGATTAGGTTCTGATCCACACTCCACTCAACTCAGCTGCAAGAACTAAGTGGGGGAGGCTTTTTGGTTTCAGTTTTTATTTCTTCTGTGTTTTGCAGTGGAGCCGTATTGCACTCAGGGCACCAGACAAGGGGAAGGATGCTGTATCAGCAGTCAGCCCAGTACGAGAGATTACCTCCCCACTTGTAGCACCAACAGTGACTGTCTTTGCCCCCCAGACGGGGAGCAGCAGAACTCAGCAACAACAAGCCTAACTCGCATGGCCAGTTTGCCTTCCCCCGGAGTTTCCAGAGCAAAATGTCTTGGCTGCAGTCCATGCAAGAAGCTGCCGTGAGCCTTGTGGCGGTTCCACGGGTGGAAACGAGTTTGTCACAAATTACAAGCTGTACTTGAGATAGAGTTTTAATTTCATTGCAATTGCATGTTGGAGCCTCCTGCCCACAGCCCCTGCGTGCTAACAAGTGAGGCCTTTTGCAGCCCCAGCAGCATGAGGGACCGTGGCCGGCTGCATTTCCCCAGGAAAACACGCAGCAGTTGAGGGCAGGGAGGGAGGGAGACTTGCTTCCGCCTCACCCACAATATTCCGTGCTCAGAGGTTTTTCCCACCGCGGCAGGAGATTTACTCCTATCGATGGGTAAGTGGCAATTCCTGGAAGCTGCACGTCCCCCGTCTCCATGGGCGGTAGGCGAACCTAGGCCTGGGGGAGGCAAGTGCCCGACTCCCCAGCAGGCAGAACAGCAGGTTGAGTGGCTCGCCCCTCGTCAGCACAGGAAGCAGGAGCAGTCAGGATACTCCGTCCGGGGGAGGGGGACTGACAGCCCAGGGCCCTGCCTCCCTTCCCTGCAGACGGCACAGACCAGAGCCCCTCGCACCCCCAGCAGCAGCCTCCTGGGCAACAGGTGTCACCAGCTCAGCTCAGGGTACAGAGCATCAGCTGTTGTGTGCGTGCTGGGCTGGGGCAGCCTCCCTCAGGGAGAGTCACACCTGAAATTTCCACCCCACCCAGGGAAACCAAGGCACAGAGTAACCACGGGACAGGAGACCTCACGTGCAATGTCACCAGCAAACAGCAAACACAATCCCACTGCGCTACATCTGCTGAAGGAACTCGGCCCAGGCGAGCGCCACCCCCTCCCAAACCGCTGCCTGGCGGGCCCCAGGGACCATGCGCCCACACGCCGCAGGGCTTGGCTGAACCCTCAAGGCACAGTTGCTCCCAGCTGCAGTTGGTGCATTTGCGAGTCCTTGGCTCTGCCCGGAAGGGGCAGGTACTTGCAGAACAATGCAGGCTGTGTCCCATTGTTCTGGGGGCGCTGGTCATAGGGCCGAGATCACAGGGCCTCACCAGCTCCCTTGTCCGCTGCTGAGCTGCAGGGCAGCGACAGGAAGGCTGAGCCACGGCGGAGCACAGGCAGCCCCGGGGGGAGCTGCGATTCCCTGCCGCCTGGGCGGTGCTGGTTGCAATGCTGCAGCCTGGGACCCTGCCCCTCTGCCCGGGCGCATGGGCTCTCCTAGCTATGCCCCTTCCCCCCTCCC